TTCGGCATCTTGTGCTTACTTCCTTGCATACGGATGACAGCTGCGTATGAATTCAATTTATTTTCTGGTGCTTTCACTTCCTGAGACATTCGTGAGCACGGTGTAGCTGCCTCGAGGGTGCTTGACCATTTCAACACAACGTGGTGCGATCATCCCCCTTGCGCGGAGTGAGGGTTCTCGACCCCGCACAACATGATCTACTCGACCACCATTATGGTTACCGCCAAAAAAAAAACACAGGTAAAAAAAAAACAACGGTAACCTGGTTGCCGAGTTCACGAAGTGAATTGGCTTATTTTACAACGTCGTTGCCAGGCGACGAAAACCCAACCCCGATGGCAAACACCGGGGGGGGGCGACCGCGATGGGGGGGGGAATAAGTCAAGCAGGGGTTCAATCTGGCACATTATTTCGCGCCACTAGCCGTCCGCCCCTCGCGCTTCCTGTCTTCCCTCGCCGTCTCGTCCGCCTGCTGTACCCCTCCCCGTGTCGGTGTTGTTGCCGGGCTTCTTGGTTCGCTTGAGCGCTCGTCATCGGCTAGCCTCCTCTTCTTTCTTGTCCCAGGAGGTCATGAACCTCTTAGCTTGCGCAGTACCCCTGAATGCCACGGTACACCGCGTTCCACCTTCGCTTCTCCATCCAAGTTGTTCCCGGGACTCCGAAGAAGCATGGCTCGGTGTCCATAGATCCGTGCTCTGCTTCGAGCATCTTCAGGTCGTACTTCAGGCACGTCTGCCAGTTTTGCTCCGGTTTTCCCCTGCCTGGGCCCTCCCCCCCCCACCAGCTCGCCGAGCATCAACCGTTTCGGGAGCAGTCCGTCTGGCTGCCTTGCCAATGCTCCTGCGAACAGCAGGCGCCGTTGCCGAATAGTGGCTTCCACGCTCTGGCACCCTACACTCTTCAGGTTCTGGGCGTAGGAAACTGCCGGTAGGTGCCCTTCTTGCGTTGGTAACCGACAACTCGCAGGAGCAGGCGGTGGTGTATCGTCCGCAACGTCCGGTATTGTTCTTGTGGGGACAGCGCATATCCTTGTCGTAGGCCTTGTGTGACCCAGAACCAGCCCGAAAACTCTCCGTCGTCCATGCGCACCCGGGCTCGCATTCCGTCGTGGAATTGGCGAATGTTGGCGATCATCTTCTCGGGGATCCCGGCCCTGGCCAGCACCTTCCGCAGCAGCTCTTGGTCCACCGAGTCATAGAGTAGTCTTGCGATTTAGCAGTACTTTGCTTTTGCCGATAGCTCAAGGCAATACTTTTGCATCGGGAGAACATCCTCTTTGCGGTGCAAGCAGCGCCGTGGACGGATATTTTCATATAAAGCACTGATCAGTCGTAGGAGGAGGACAAACAGCACAACACATGGATGGACTTGGATATCAATTGTATGCAGACGTATGTCCTTAGTTTGCCCCCTGTTTTTGTACTTTTCTCCAAAGAATCATTTGACGACGGCATGAACCAGGTGGAGGTCATGCGAGCGACCAGGATGTTCCTGCTTCAAACCAAAGGCCCCACACGCTTCGTGGTAAGATCTGTTCACTCCTTTGTCTCGGTTGAGGATAACTTGCGTACCAGTCTCTCTCCCGTGGGAAATGCGCACCCCGAAGCAAACATGCAGTGAGAAAAATAATAGGGTGGGTTTTGCTGTTTCATAGTTGCCAAGCTATGTCCATGCCGTCTGTATGGTTGGCCTCTGGCGTCATTTCACAATAATTTTGGAACAACGGCTGGGAGCTGCTACCCCGTCTTGACATCAAGGACTTTGACACATTTGTATCCTCGACATTCGGCACTACAGACACCATTAGGTGGAGAAACTCAGGGTTGCACAACCCTTCTACAGGAATAAAGAGAACAATCGGGCCGGTCGCCGACACAGAACCATGTCCATTCGATACGAAGGACTATGTAAACACAGGTGCAGCAGAGAGACATTGCTTGTTGAGAAGTCAGGATATGACTGGAGTAGGCCTTGCAGGGACGAACGAAGTAAGGTTTTGGACGGCACTAGTCGCGTGGACCGGCGAAACCACCCTGTGCCGCACGTCGACAATAAACAGGAAAACGTTCGAACCATAGTGTCCAGCAGCGAAAAGGATCGTTGACCGGTGCGAACTGACATGAACGTCTCTCTTTACGTACAAACGCATACCATTCGGCTAACGCTCGTGACCCCCGCCGTCCCTGCCGACGCTCCAAACTCCAAACCGGACGATACTTTTTGCACGCGGTCGGTCTAACAATGTGGAAGGTGCGCGGCGAAGAATCTGATCGCAAGTTCACGGTGCTCGTTGGAAACAGAGCACGCTGCTCGTGCGGCGTTCCCCTGTGCCTGCACCACTTGTTCATCATGCTAAAGGTGCAAGCAGTGCGTGAGGTACCCGGGAGACATGTATCGGCCCTGCAGTCAATATCATCTACAGGACGGGGCGAAGGGGGGGGTAATTGCGTCGTGGCTTCCCTCGTGTCGCAGGTTGGCCAGTGTACCGGGGCAAGCTGTCCCTACGTAGTTTTGATCCCCTATGCCGAGCGATACAACTCATGTGAATCTTTCCCCGCACGGTCGACTCGCAGGTCCTCAAGATTCCGCCCAGTAACCCTCTAGCTTGGCAGACCGCACTCATTGACTCAGAAGTGGACTACATCCTCAGCGGCGGTGGCGGCGACAGGGGAAGAAAAGACGGCGCGAGCGCGCTTGGGGCCGCGCGGCCGCATGGGCAGCAACCCCACGGGTTCCTACGCCGAGGCGGGGGTCGTACGTCCGCAGGCGGCGGTACCGACGTCCTTAGGAAAGCCGACGGCGGCGGGGATACGGGGAGCTGTTCCGGCGGTTCCACGGGAGGCGACGGGGGCGGCGGGCACCCCCGGCTCGAAGTCACCCCCGGAGAGGTGTGTCCGGTGTGCCAGGAAGAGATGGACGAGGGCGGGGGTGAGGGAGAGGATGGCAGCAAGGCGGTTGCGGCGAAGGGTGGCGGCCGATTGACGTACTGCAGGGACGGCTGCGGGAACAACATGCACGCCAGGTAGGGTGTGTGCGGGGGTCGGGCCGAGTGCTCCCTGCCTGCGAGGCGTGCTGCTGATCCGCCCCCCGCGTGCTTTTTGTTCGGCAGAGGTTACACTGAAGTTGTTGCGACGCCGTGTGAAAATCAATCATCACACCGACAATACTCCTGCATACGGCATAGTTTCTCGTGCACCGCGGTAGAGCCATCGCTACCGTCAACCATTCGTGGCAGCAGGAGGAGGTAGTTTTTGCAAGACAGGCTGTGTGGTATAACTTGTTCATGACCCGTGACCAGCGATTGTTCACTGGGCTAAGAAATCTCACAATGTGAAGAGCGCGTAATCGTGAGTGTGTCCACAGCGAAGGAGGGGGGGGGAGTGCTGGATTCTTCTCGCTAAAAATGTTGAAGGGAAGCACCGCAGGAGGGAAAGGTGAAGAATTTCCCCTGTGTTACCGCGGCAGGTGCGCAACGTAACACAAGGCGTGGACTGTCGCCCAGATAGTAGGTGGGGCGACGAGAGAAAATATACCACTTCACCTCTGACCTCGTTGAAACCAAAGCCTATTTATTCACACTCTCTGAACCGGTATCCTTTTGATACACTGGAAACAAACGGAACACCGCAATAACAGTTAAGCGTGATCACCGTGAACTATAAGCACCCCTTCTCCCCCCCCCGGACGTACTCGAACAGGTGCATGCTGATGTATGCAGAGCACCGTCGCTCCAGCGGCGACAAGCCATGCTGCCCCCTGTGTCGCGTCGATTGGGGCATTACGGCCGTTCGAGCCCTGAGGGAAGACGATCGGCAGCAGAGGAAGGGCAAGGGCGGCGGCGGCGGCGGCCGATCACCGGTGGGACGAAGCGGCAGGAGACGGGGTGGGAGAAATGGCGTTTGTCAAGCGTCCGCGGCGCCTGTTACCTGCAGGAGTTGCAGCGTTAAGGTCCAGGCGGCGTTTTTTCGGTGTCTGGTCTGTCTGCCTGCCGGCTCGTGGGTGAGATAGCGTATGTCCGTCGTGAGGCCCAGGTGTGTGGGAGAAGGGAAAGAACGTGGGTTCGGGGGGGAAGTGTCATATCGTCCTGGAACCGATCTCGTCGCCTCACACCCTCTTCGATGTCATCGTAGAGGCTGCAATGGTCGAGACGACGTTCCCACCATACTATCCTGGGCCTTGTGCGTTCCCTATACAAGATCGTCAGCACCATCATGGTGCCCACACAAATGTTCCACTTGCCGACGCTAACCCGTCCGCCATATCATAGAAGCAACGTTCGAGGAAACGTTGCCACTTTGGGGCCAAAGCCTTCTGCTCTCAAACACCGTCCGCACTCTTTATTGTGAACCACGCCACAGGACCTCTGTCGGAGGTGCTACGCCATGAGCGGGGTCCGCGGCAGAAGAAGCACCAGCAGTGGCGATGCGATCGCCCCTCCTTGCACCCCTGCCGGGAGACACCGACATCCCTTCGTGCAAGGGGAGGCTGCGACCGATCCGCCCGAGTGGAAACCCGCCGAGCCGCCCGACGGTGGTAGGCTCGGAGGTTTCCGCGGCGGTAGCGGCGGCGGCGGCGGGGCAGGCACGGCCAGGAGGGCGGACCCTGTCGCAGCCGCCGGGCTGCTGTCCCTGCAGGTGAGGAGGACTTTCTTGTCATGGGTGGGTTGGAAGACGGTACTGCATGAGTCTCTTCTGCTGTGCTACCCACGACGACCCTCGTGTTTGGGGGAAGGCTAGTGCCCCCCCGGCTGTCCTTGCTGCCAGGAGCCCTGCGTGTGTGTGTCGTAGAGTTTTTGCGCTTGAGACGAGTCGCATATACACCAGCGCCGGCGAGATTCTTGCACGCTCCAGTAGCTCGGTACAGCGACCTAGGCCTACCCACTGCACCACAACCTAGTTTGGGGTGTTGGGGTTTGGGTTAGGGTTAGGCCTAGTGAGGCCTTGCGCCTTGGTGCTGCCTGAGGGCTGGAAACCTGCCGTGGCTTTGGTTTCGTGTCTACCTCCAATCAGAACCCAAAAATTGTTGAACTGGCGAGTGCAAGAATCTCGCCAGCGCCGGCGTGTATACGCCTTTCGTGCGTTTGATGCCGTCACGAGCGAACATCGTGGTCAGCAGTCTTAAGGATAACAGTGGCATGGCCGTGGGACTACTAAATAACAGTTACATGGCCGCGGCACCACTTAGGCATATGGATGCTCCCGACCGTACGCTATCATGTTTCGCCAACACCGCGCACAATCTCGACCAGCGTCTCCCATGGGCTGATTGTCGTCCGTGCGCACACCCCCGGCTACCGTTGGTTGAACGCAGGGGCGGGAGATCACGACCGCAGATTTCGAGCTCCTCCTGACTCTAGACGCGTCGCCGGTTTTGCCCCTCCACGAACATCTCCTTGGAGCCCTACCAATCTTTCAGGGGACAGGGGCCACCGACACCGAGTGCGGCGGTAGTCCCAGCCAACTGTCGGCAAACGCTTTGCCGGTTCGCCAACAGCTGTCAGGTTCGTCATCGGAATCACTTCCTACGGCGACGCCTCGTCTACTCTTGGAACACCCATCACCGCCGTCGAGGCCGGCCGACCGGCGCTCGAGGAATTCTTTATCCTCCGTCGGTTTACTTGAAGGGGAGGTGGACGGCGTCGAAGGGACCAGCCGTAGCGTCATCGACGACGACGAAGGCAGTAATGGTTTCGAACATCCTTCTTCGACAACGTCAGGGCTTCTTTCACGATCGTCCGGGAGGACCGCGGTCGTGGCCACGACGTTGACTTCACCGTCAAGCCCCCCCCCGCCGCCGTCGCTCAGTTCCTTGGTCGCAGCAGCAGCTTTGAGAAGGCACGAAGCCGCAGAAGCAGCAACGGGAGGGGACACGGAAGCGTCGACACAGGCGGCGGCCACAGCAGCAGCAGTAACAGCGACGACCGAAGCCTCGCCCAGAGAAGAAACTACGGCGTCCGTCGCCACCGCGCCCTTGCTCCCTTCGGTCGAGGTAGCCCCGGTCTCTGGAAGTTTCATGGCTGGGGCGGCGTCCTGTTCGTTCTGCTCCGTTGCCGACACCACTGCTACGGCCGGAGACGCCGCCGCCAGTGGTATCGAAAACGGCAACGTCGACCCGCGAGGCGAGGCGGCATCTCCTTGCATCAGCCAACAGCCTCACCCGTCCCTGTCCTCTTCGATGCTCTCTTCGCGGGCACGACCATTGAAGCGACTCCCGTGTGGCCACAACGCTCACGAAGCTTGCCTTTTGCCCCTGATCCTAGAGAGCGTGGGCAGGGGCGACCCTTTCAGTTGCAGTTGCCCCGTAGACTCGTGTCCGATCTTCCCGGCCCTCTCTCGCCAGAGCCGCTCTCGCCAGAGCCGCTCTCGCCGCAGCCGCTCAGGCAGCGACGGCGGCGGCACCCCGTCAGCCGGCGGCGACGACTACCGCAGGGGCACGAGATCAGCCCCCTCGGCGACACCATTACCTGCCGGCCGTACCGGTGGCAGCGCAGCAGACAGATACGCGCGGGCGGCCGCGGCAAGGGAGTCGCTCCGGAGAAACGGTCTCGGCTGCGCTGATGACACGCTCGGCATCGGGCTTGTCGGCTCGGGGCTCGCGCAGCAACCATGCCCCCAACCGCCGCCGCCTCCGCCACACGGCGCGGCAGTCGCGGACGCTTCTGCAACTCTCCCCAATGGGTCACACAGTCGAGCGACAAACGATAGCCGCTTGGTAGCGTCTCGTGATGATGAGGGGACGCACGATGGAGGGGTGGAGGCGGGTAATAACGGGGGCGGTGGTGGGGTAGTAGGCCGGCGCGTGGGCCCTTGCCGAAATCTCCGCGCGTCTCGCCTGAGAGGTCTTGCCATTCGTTCCAGCGACTCGGGGTCGGACAGCAGCTTCTCTCTTTTTGTCGGGGGTGCAGGGATAGCCGCAGATGGGGCAGGAGGTGGCGCAGCAGCTGATCGAGGAGGGGGCGGGGGCGCGGAAGACGGCCTCGAAGCGGTGGTGGGCTCTCAGCGACCCCGGCAACAGTCTCCGTGCGTCGTTCGAGGTTCAACCATAGGCAGTAGAAGGAGTAGACGACGCAGAACCAGCACCAGCACCAGCACCAGCACCAAGATGGGTACTGCGCCCGCCGGTGTGGCATCTGCGGCGGCTGCACGTGGTCATCGTGCTGTCGATAGATTGCCAATGATTTCTGTCTCTCTCCCATTGGTCTCGAGCACCAGGGGGGGCACCGCCGACAGGATTGCGACGGAACGTATCGAGCACGAGGCTCCATGAGAAGAGATAAAAGTGGACAGAGCACGATTTCTCCCCTGAGTCACGCACCAGGACGTCGTGTGAAGCAAGTGAAAACGGGCGATCGATGTTTGGGCAACGTTTTTCCCCCTCACCTTCCCCCCGTGTTGCACAGGGCTGTACGATGTCACCCACTCTTTTCAAAATTTACATCAACGACTAGATAAGGGCGGTTGAAGCAGTAAGACAGGGAGTCCAAGTAGGGGGGAAGAGTGTGTCCGGACTGATTTTTGTAGATGATTTCGTGGGGGTATCCGAAACACCAGAAGGGTTGCAGGAACAAATAGATGCGGCAGTAGGATACACCCGAAAATGGAGACTGTCGGCGAACGTAGGAAAATGCGCAGTAGTGGTCTGTAACGAAGACAAGAAAAATCCCGTAGAATTCAAATGGAAATGGGGGGAGGAAGAATTACCGGTAGTAGACAGGTATACGTACCTGGGAGTAGAGATTTCGAAGGAGTGCTCATGGGACGCACACATAGCAAAGTTGATTGGGAAGGGTAAAGCTCAGATAGGCAAGATGGACGAGATCCTTACGGACCCACACCTAGACACTAGGATTAAGAGGTGTGTTCTCTTGAATGTGATTGTACCTAAGCTAGAGTATGCAGGAGAGGTATGGGAAGGTAACGAAAAGGCCGTCAAGCAGCTGGAAACGGTGCAGATGGCAGCGGCCAAGAAAATACTAGGATGTTCAAGTACAACGAGCAACACTGTATTGAGAGCAGAACTGGGAATGTACTCTCTTAAAACAAAGAGAGACATGCAAAAGTTGAATTGGCAGTACAAGGTAAGTAGAATGTCGGACGATAGACTACCAGCCATGGTTGACAAGGCAGCTTGGGGAAAAGCGACTCCAGGGAAGAAAGGAATCAGATGGGACAAGGTGGTAGAGAGGGTTTGGAAGGAGATAGGAGACGAGGAGGAGACATTGGACACGGAAGGGTTCGGGGGGTTCAAGAAGAAAGTCAAGGAGATGCTAGAAAGTAGGGAGGAGGCAACCCTTCGGAAGAAGGTACGAAGCGAAGACCACTTGGAGATATACGGGAAGTTGAAAGAAGGGATAGGGATGAAGAGTTACTTGGACGGCCCCATGGACTACGCAAAAAAACTGAAGTTGCAATTTCGAGTAGGCGATCTGGACTTGCCAGAACGGAGGAAGAGGTACAGCAGCCGTAGGAGAGAGGAAGAGGAGGATAGACAGTCATGTCCATGTGGCAAATCGGAGGAGAGTAGACCCCACACAGTTGGGGAGTGTGAGCTGTACAGGAAGGAAAGAGAGGATCTCGAGGAGGACATGAGACAGAGAGGGTGTGAAATGGACAAGTTTGGTAAAATAGACCACAACGAAAAAACGATCGCGGTAATTGGGGATAGGTGGTGGGCACAAGAGGCCGTAGAGGACGGGGATAAGATGTGCAAGAAATTTTTATGCAGTTTGTGGCAGAAACGTAAAGAGCTCCCAAATGTTGGTGGTGTCTCTAGTAGGGGTAGGAACGGTGCTCCGTCTCGAAAGGGACGCGTGGTCAATGTTCAAATGACTACGGCAAGCAACAAATGAGTACGCCCCACCCCGCCCCCCCCCCGTGTCGCACGTGCTGCCTTCGATAACGTGCGATAAGTCGGCGCTTGTTGTGCCGTTGGTTGGGGACCCATCTCGGCTGCAGTGCTTCGGGCACGCCCCCCGTACAGGAATGAGACATGCCCGACGAAAAAGGCAGCACGGCCGGCCACAGGGACGGCGGCATCTCTCACGCGACGTCGAGCGGGGCGCCGGGGGTCAGAAGTGAAAGGACATTGTTCAAAGAGGGCGCCGGGAGTCCGAAGACATGACCGGGTGTCTTCAGTACCATTAGAAACGCTTCGACCGCATGGAAGGCGTTCATTCTCTTCTGCTGCGTCTCTGTGGACGACCATCTTGCACATTAAGTTCACCATTGGGGAAGCGCGAGCGACGCAGAGGCAGCAGGCGAACTTTGCTCGCAGTCTTCCAAACAACAACATATTCGATACACGACCGGGGTCGCTACAGTACTGCAACTGACGAAGAGTCCAGCGTAACTTGATGCTCGTATTCTCATTTCTACATATGGCCATACTTCCCCCGTTCAAAATGTCACGCTACACACCAGAAACACCGAAATGCAATCTAGCACCAAAACTTGCCAAAACACTAGTGTCGGTAGTCGTTTCACTTGAGGCCGACGCACACCTTACCCCTCACGCAACAAACAAACAAGCACAAGTGCACCTGTAACAGTACAACCATCAACGCCTACATAACACGACCCCTACACTCTGCAGCAGCACCGAAGACAAGACACCCAAGACTCAAAGTTGAACATAAACAATAGGCAGCTTACATTTTTAACAGCTCGCGCACTCAACTCGTTGCGTCGCGTGCGCACTTACACTACGGCCGCCTAGAGCTAGAGCGCATATCCCCTCCCCCCCTCTACCCTACCCCACCACGACCATGCGCTGTGGGTGTAGATATTTCTAGCTGCGGGCTCGCAAGGCACGCGCCCATTGCGTGTGAACAGCCAACAGCAATACCAGTTCAAGAAAAAAAAGTCGTCGTGATTCCCGCTGCAGAAGACGGGATGACTGCCTAAATATAACAGCGTGTGGATGCTCAACAACGGCAGACGGCGAGGTTTCGGCCATCCAATGGTCCGGGCCGTCTGGAGAACACTCACCCCTCACATACTGTGAAGAGTGTCGCCACTCGGCACACACCGTAGGGCTATCTACACCAGGAAGGCGAAGCATTGCACGTCTATGAAACGTAACGTATGCACCTTCACAGCAACCGAAAACAATCTAACACGAGGACGCCGTTGGCTCTCCCGGAACAAACTGAGCTTGGCAGAAGAACGCTCGTCGTCGATGATCGAGAGCGTGCGTGCAGAAAAGACAAGGCCAACTGCTGTTACAACGGACACCCAACATCAGCGTGTGACAACTCAACAATAACAAGGAGGCATCCGCGGTTTACCACACGATGCCGCCCGCAGGGTTTCGCCCTCACGCACATGACAACAAAGTGCCTCATGGTACCGGAGACACATGTATGTGCACACAGGCACGCGCGTGTCTCTAGGTCGTTGTCCCTGACGCTAGGGAGGCAAATTACTACTTTACAAACGAACCAATGCCTCTTGATGAACAATACGATAACAAACAAACGGGCACGTGTATTGTTCCCGCCGTGACAAACTAGCACAAAAAATACAACACATCATCGTTGCCGCAGGAAACATGCGCCCCGTACATACGCTCGACATGCGCCATGTCAGCTGAGGCGATGCCAACGTTGGCACAAGGGCGGCACGAGCTCTGCTTGACTAGCCAAACCGTGCGCCCTTGTCCACAAAAAAAAATAGGGCCATTCAAAACAGTACAAATATCGACAACAACAACAGAAAAGAGCAACGGACCCACTCCAAACGCTGTAGGAGGTATTGATAGCAGCAGCCGCACCCGCGGCAGCAGATGTTTGCCCTGGGCGGGCGAGACAGCCCACGTATGCTCCTCCTCGCTCTGCCTCGAGAGCGAGTCGTGGTCAACAAAGCCACACGACGACGGCGTGCACCCCTCCATGAGCTTCAAACCACCACTCCAACCGCTTCCTGTCCCCCCCCCCTCTCCACAAACTCCTCCTCCTCCTGCCGCCGGGACAGAGGCTCTCCTCCCTCTCCTTCTCCCGCCGAAGCAAGTTCGTCATCACCGGCGGCGCCAGCGTCGGGCTCCGAGAGGTAGCAGCAGCAGACTTTGTCCTTCGTGAGGAGGAGAAGGGCACCTCCGTCGGGGGCCCAGCGGAATCCGAGAATCTCGAGGCCCTCCGAGGGGACGTCGACCCACGAAGCCCCCTGGAAACAGGCGAAAGGCGGGCGGGGTTTCAGTAACCAAAGAGGACATCTGCCGCCAGGACGCGGGGAGAAGGTCGAACGCAGCAAACGAAAAAAGGTTGCTAGGCATGCACAGTACGTGGGAGTGCGGGGCGCTTGCATGCTACGCTTGCGGGGGAGGGATAGCTCAAGGTCTTTCGGTCATACGTCTCAGCAACTGCGGTTGTTGGAGTGGCCCGAGGAACCGAACGTGACGCGTTTTTACACGTGCAAACACCAAGGCCCCGACAACGAAGAATATCACTATTACTATACTCTACCCATTGAACACGACAAAAAACAAAACGGCCAAATGATTACAGGGCACGTGAACACCCGCTTGGTGGAGTAGATGCTACACACAGGTTAAAACGACGATAATACACACTAACAGTCTCTGGGGTGCGGCCGCCGCCGCCGCCGACAGCGGCCGCTCGCTCTTCCTAGCCAACCCCCCACCCACCTCCGGGCTCCACAAGTAGACGTGGTGGTTTCCCGTGCAGATGGCCAGCTTGTACCGAGTAGGGCACCACTTCGCCGACCTCACGGATTCCATCTGTGGCGCAGAAAGTTTAGAGCTTGGGCTATAGTATAGATAAACCAAAAACGTGTGACTAATCGCAAGCGTCACGTCTGAGGGCAGCAGCTGAACTCGAAAGACACAAAAACCCCGACCAACCAACACGAAACGACGTGAACGCGCCGTCAAAACATAACCCATCGCACCGCAACATCCTTCCCCCCCCCCCCC